CCCCCCCGGGGCCCATTTCTGCCCCTCCAGGGAGTATTTTCAACAGTCCAACGGGGTAGGCAGCCATACCTGGGCAACCTATCCCTATGCTGGAGACGGGCCTGTGTTCAAAGTCTGCCACCCACCCACCCACCCACCCTATCGCCTCGGTACGCGTCATCTCTGCGCAAGATAGTTACCAAGGACTGAATGCTCCGAACAGACCAGTCTCTTGGCTCAGATGTGGGCTCTGCTCATGTGCACGTGCACACACACTTGCAGATAACATTTGCACACCTCCACACGCATGTGCACGTACAGACAGGCCTAGGAACCGTGTCCCAACTCCCAGGGTGCCCCGCACTTCTGGCTCTCTGCCTCCCTTCCCTTCATCACCAGGAGCCGCTGGACCAACTCCCTCACTTGCAGGCTGCTGACGGAGGCCAGGACCCAGATCAGCTTCCAGACCACCCCTGGAGCCATCAGCCAACGGCTCCGACCTTTACCTCCCCAAGGAGAGCAGCCTTTGAAGGAGGGTGTGGATATCAGAGCTAGGGTCACAGCCTCCTCCTATCAGTGGGAAGGGGCACGAGGGACTGTGAAACTGGTCCTGCTGCCTCCAGCTTGGAAAAGCAAGTTGCACGAGCTCTGAGACGCTCTCCAGGCTCACGCCCCTCCCTGGCCTGCCCTGCCCTCCCATCAGTCATCTCTGGCTGGTGTCCTTGCAGGGACCTCCTAGAATGAGGCCTACTGCCTCTGTGGCCAGGCCTACCCCGCGCTCCGCACAGAATCCGGGAAACGGGAAAAGCCAACACTGCCATCTTTTCCCATCTGGAGACCAGCTCACGGGCCAGCGGCCTGTCCCACTGCTTCTGGCCCACTCATGGGGGCATGTGCCCTTCAGCCCCTGAGCTCCATGCAGAAAAGGCATCAAGGGCTCCTCTGCCATAGCACCGGAGTGCTCCGGGGTCGTCTGGGAGCTCCCGAGAGGCCGCTCTTTCAGCTGAGGCTGGGAAGAGCCCTAGCTGTCTCCACTTCCAGAGCTAAAGGCTTGGAGGTGGCCAGGGGTCTGCGGGTCTGCCTAGGGAACATAGCCTGGAGGGGCTGGTGGCAGGGGGGCCTGAGTTCACCTGTCAAGATCATCAGGCAAAGGGTGCCCTGGGCTTGTGCAGGGGCCTGGCCCTCCCTGTGTGCTAACGGACTGCTCTTCCGGCCTCCTGTCTCCTGGGAGGGGAAAAACCCCACCAGACCAAGTGACACCACACTGGTCACTTCAGCTGTGCTGTCTAACGTGGTGGCCACCGGGAGTGGCCCTGGGTCACTCGGCTAATGCTGCTGGTCTGGGAGGCTGGGCCTCCGGACCTTAGAGAGGGGAGGCTACTGGGATTGGGGGTGCCTTTCCAGCTAGATGTGTGGCCTGGGCAGCACCCTCCGGGGACCTTCATGGAGGAAGGAGGCGCAGAGCTGACAACGCCCATAACTTTGCAGGGTCGTGGCTGGGGACAGAAGAGGTTTCTTGGGAACCAGGGGAGCCCCATGCTGAGGGCCGAGCCATGGAAGCAGGCCTTTACCACTGGGCAGGAGAAGGTGGTCTCTGCCCCCTCCCCTCCCTGCCTTGGGCTCTCGGCAGTCTGTAGCCATGGGATCGGGACCAGGCGGGCATGGGGGTGGGCGGGGTGTGTACCCTGTCTTGAGCTTTTCTTACTAGAGGGCCACGGACACACACACACACACGCGCGCGCACACATGCACACGGAGCCCAGGGGTGGCTCGGGGGCCTGTCTGCTCCTGCCCTTTAGCAGCCCTGCCAAGAGCCCCTTTCTCCCCCCTTCACATGCCTCATCTCCCAGAGCCAAGAGAGCCTCAGCTGCCGACTGCAACCATGGGGAGGACGGATGTGGGACGGCCGAGCCCAGGCAACTACGGGTGGAGGTGGGCCCCATAGCCCTTCATACCCAACAAACCCCGAGCCCCTGAGGCCACAGGAAGGGCCAAGGGCAGAGGGCCACACCCCCCAGAGCTGTGGACACAGAACCATGACACCACTGAACAGAACACCAAGAGAAGACAAGCCCAGCGAGCAGGAGTGCGCGAGGGGGAGATAAAGCGTCCTGTGGCCCCGGAGTGGTCCCGGGGGCAGCTCCCCCAGTGAGGATGGGGCACACAGGACGCGCTGCCCTCACCCAGCCGCTCCCGGACACAAGGCCAAGGCCCTGCATGCTTTTCTTGGGTGGACACGGCCAGTCCCCAGGACAAGACCTGGGAAAGGAACCTGAGATTTCTAAGCTTGCAGGAGAATAATAATAATAATAAAAAAAATCAGGTAAGCTGTCCGCATAAAGGCGACCATCCACGGAGGGGGTTGCGGACGGGAAGCAGGGAGCTCGCCCACCCGGCCCGCCCAGGTCCAACCACTCCTCCCTCTGTACCGATGCCCCCTCAGTTACATAAAGATGTCTGGGGGCCTCGGCTGTGCGGACCATGAGCCATCTCATGGCAGCTCAACACCGGCGCGGGGTGGGGCTCCTGGGCTGCTGGTTTTGTTTCTCTCCAGGCGGGCCTGAGGGATCCAGTCGGCTTCTCTAGTGATCGTATTGCCTACATACTTGAATTAGAAAGATACGGTGGCTCAAAACGTGCCTGCGTGTGGCAGACGCCGCGGCGCAGGCCCTCACGCCCGCATGGTGTGCGCACAGTGGGGCCTGGGCCCACAGACCGCGCACACAGCATATATTAACATATATATTGCTCAAGTATATATGCTATTTACAGTATATATCTCTATCAACATAAAACACAGGTATTTATATGTGTGTACAACAGGTACGGCCTAGAGAGTCTGGGGCAAACTACTCGGGGCACGGGGCCCACACACTTGCACGGCAGGGAGGGAGGGCAGAGGAGTGACAGTGGGGAAACTGAGGAAGGAAATCAAGGCCTTCCAAGGACAGAAGGGGACACAGGGCTTCCACTGCCCTGCCCACGCAACTACCTCCCTTCTGGGACCAGCAGACAATTGATAAGTTTTGGTTGGAGTTTTGTGCAAAATGAATTAACAAACCAAACCAAACCAAACCAGTGGGTTTCTAATTAGTGTGGTGGGCCCCGAGCACCCGCGAGGGTTATGACAGCTCCTCCACCTGGTAGGCTTCCTGGGCTCCGAGGGTCCCCCTGGCATGAGCTCACACTGGCCCTGCATCAGGACAAGGAAACACCCCTTCTCTGACCTCAGAGACTGCACAACCCAGCTGCTGCCAGGGAAAAGTGGCACAGGTGAGCAAGGGGCCCTTCCTGTCCTGCTCACGCAGAGCACACCCAGCTGCAGGGGCACTGGGCTAGCCTGCTCCCCATGGACAGGCCACCTCGCTGGCCACCTGCTGGCCACGCCCCCATGGCTCTTGGTGTCCTCACCCCTCTGAGGCTCCAACAGAAGCATGGCTGGCAAGAGGCCTGTGTGGAACAGACCCCTGCTCCTTGCTTCCCACTCAGAGGCCCGAGGCCCATGACAGCCCTGACTCTCACGCCTGTCCCTGGACTACAAGCGCCAGCCAAGTGACAATGAGCCCCCGGCGGCCCCTGAAAGAACTCAGACAGACTCCAGCCCCTAAAAACAGAAACCATGGCCAACAGCAGCCTGGGCGCAAATACATTAAATAAAAACTAAAACAAGGTACGATTTTTCTATTAAGGCTCAGTTAAGCTGCTTCCCAGGCCAAGCACTCATGAACGCCAGGCCCCAGACTGAAGGGGTGGTGGCGGGCGAGTGCAGGCAGGGGAGGAAGGGCAGGATGAGTTTTTTAGGGGGTCCTATGCTGGTCTAGTCAACTGTTGGGGAGGTGGGGTGACCTAAGAAACCCCAGGCCCAGAATGCTGGGGACACCCCTGCTGGGGGAGACCCAGGCTCCGCCTGCCCAGATACGGTCCAGGGAAAGCAGAGGGGTCGGGAGCTGGTGCTCCAGGCTGGTGGGTCTCCTGGGACCCCCTCCCTGAAGAAGTGAGTGCTTGTGGAGGGGAGGGTCTGGACGGGGCCCTGCTTGGCAGTCTTGCTGGGGGTCGGGGTGCTGGCCCTGAGGCTGGCAGGCAAGGTGCTGGGCTCTCTCCAGCTCGGCCCACAGTGTTCAGTCTGAGCCTTTGCAGCCACCAGGCCCCAGGGCAGCACACTGGCCTCCACTCTGGGGAACCAGCCCTGAGCTGATGGAACCAGAGACCAGCGACCACGGTATGCTGCCCCCCACCCTCATGGGGGCCTTCCTGGGCTCCACCGACTCAGCCCCGCTCTGCCAGCACCCCCAGATGACACGAGGAGTGGCACGCCGGCGCCTCGGCAGAGCAGCCTGCTTCCTTTGGCACCTGCCCCTGGCCGAGGGTCAGGCCGGATGAGAAGGCGGGTCAGCTCACAGGCTCCCTGGGCCTCAGAAACCATTTTCTGGGGTGGGGATGGGGGAAGGAGGCAGTTCGTTCTCAAGGGGCCTGGGGCTCTGGGAAGGCAGGAGGGCATGGGGAGGCCTTGGCTGGGATCCCAGGCCCGGAGGGGATGGCAATCGGGGAGGGGACAGTCTCCCAGGGGCCATTCCTTGGGGTCCCTGGGCCGATTTTCCAGTCTGTGGAGAAATACTGCGAGAACAATCTTCGGGGTGGGGCTGGGCCAAGGCAAGGCGGAGCAGACGAGGCCGTCTAATGCTTCTCCGCTTGACTGACCTGCAGGGCGCTGATCACCCCGCCGATATTCTCCTCCGGTACCTGAGTGGGGCAGGAAGCAGATGCAGTGAGTCCCAGAAGCTGCTCCCTGCCCTGGGGGGCCCGGGACCACACTCACCAGTGCGTGGTCGAACTTGAAGGTGCTGATGTAGTAGGCGGGGATGTCTGCAGCAGCCAGGGGCTCGGAGATCTGTGCCACGATGCCGCACTCATCTAGGGAGGAAGGGGGTGCTCAGCCTCCGGGAGGCCCTGCTTCTAGGCCTACTCTGCACCCGCCATCGTCCCACCCCACCCGAAGGGCTCAGTCCAACTGCCCGTCCGACAAGGAGCTCCTCTTCTCAGACCTCGGCCAGCAATTCACCCTCTACCCTTGGCTCTGTGGTCCTGGTTCCGCTCAGCTCCGATCACCGCCCGCCTGTTCCCAGACCTCTGTTCCCCAACCCACCGGCTGCCACTCAGTGCACGCGCTCAGGCAGCACGGGCCATGGGAGAGCAGGGCTCGGCCCTCTTCTGTCTGGTACTTATTCTCCCAGATGACCACGGGCGAGTCACTTCCTCAGGCCCAGCCTCGGTTTCCACATCCAGATTCCCACCAGGTAACAGCACCTGCCTGTCCTGCATTTGCAGGGGGCTGGGAAGTGACCTCTCCAGGCCTCCACGGCAGGGTCTGTGGCTCTGCGAACCCCTCCAAAACCCAAGCCATCACGCTGGCCTTGGGGTTGCCTGGGGCGGGCTGATCCCTCCCTCATTGTCAGCTTCCTGCCTGATGTGAAGGCACCACTCAAGGTTTCCTGCTACAGGAAGACCACCAGGATATGAAGCCCACTCTCCTCCCCAGCATGACCCCCTGGGTTGTTCCCCGAAAGCTCCTGCTCTGATTTTGGTGAGGATGCAGCTCCCCAACACCTCTCTTGACTGGGTGGGTGGGTGGATGCAGACCTGGTCACGGATTTTGAAGCCTGAGCCTGGGGTTCAACCCAGGCTCCTGACTTCTGAGAGTCACCCCCACTGTCACCAAACCCAGCGTCTCCTCCACCCATGACCCCTAGCCATGACCTTGCCCCGGTCCTGAGCTTTTCAGCCCACCCGGGACTTGTGGAGTGGCCTGGCTAGTCTCACAAGCTCCTGTTTCCCGCTCAGTCTGTGAGGCATCTGGGTGAACCCACAGGCTTTCTGGTCACCGTCCCGTCTGCTACGCGTGGAGACTTGTAGTGTCCTAAGACACCTTCAGGCTCTCAACGCACTACTCCAATAAACAAATGGGCACCAGGCAGGGGATTAGGGTCTAGGATGGTACTTTTTTTTTTTTTTTCATAGGGCATATGCTCATGGAAGACAGAGACAGAGAAGAAAAGTGAGAAATCACCTCGTAGGAGGGATAGTCTTCTGAGGATCCTGGACACACACACACACACACACGCACCTGGTGTGATGTGATTTTCAAGCCGCCTGGTTCGGGGCTCGAACTGTGGTCGGCCATGTGAGAGACCAGCGCCTTAGCCACTGTGCCACCTGCTGGCCCCGATAATACCTTTTAAACTATGGTTGTGATGTCAACTACAGATGGCTGGTGATTGGTATTTTACAAAAGGACTCAGACTAGAAAAATGAGAGGCCAAGCAGCACAGCATGAGTCTGGGCCAACTGTGGTTTTGTGAGCCCTTAGTCTGAGTTCTTTGAGGGTATGTGTGCTGGGTAAACCATCTACCTCAGATTGCTGGAAAAGCACACCTGTCCAGAATCTTCCCGGCTCTCATTTTTCTTGCAGGAATATTTATAGCTAACAGGATGGCTCGAGAATCTCCTCTTGGGAAGGCACACCAGCGGCTGCCTGCTAGACCAACGCTGGCATTTTCTACGCATGTGCCCCATGGCCCACCCAGGAGGCTGCTCCAGCAAAATGGCCCGACAGCATCGGGCAGACGGTGGCCCATGGAGATACCATTCCCACACCCCCTTCCCATCCATCCACCTCTACTTCTTCCTCCCGACTTCCTCTCTGCGGCACTGTTAGCTTACTGAGTGTATTCTGGTCGACTCAGAACCTTCTGAGACCACAGCTGGGGAAAAACGGGTAAGCAAATGCAGAGGTACTTCAAAAGTTCTTATTAAAAGTGTAAGTTTAGAGGCCAGTAGGTGGCATGGGGGTTAAGGCACTGGACTCTCACATGGCCAACTGCAGTTCGAGTCCCAAACCTAGACGATTACTTTTTGGAGAGGTTTTTGCTATAGGGCGCGTGCGCGCACCAGACAGACAGAGAGAGACAGAAAGCAAGAAATCATCCCCCGGGGGGATGGCCATGCTGCAATCCCTTTTCCTCCATTCTCCTCTCGGGATCTTGGGCACGCAGCACACGCGCCTGGCGTGAGTTTTAAGCCACTGGGTCTGGAACATGAACCGCGGTGGACTTCGTGGGAGTCCAGCGACATAGCCATTAACTGGATTCCCATGTGGCTGACGCTTACTTTCTCACTTTTCCTCCCACCCTCTCTGGTGAGCGCACATGCCCTATAGAAAATTAAAAACATGATAATAAATAAATTAAATAAATAATTCATGAAAAACAATAACAAAAAGTCCAAGTTTAGGGGCAAGCAGGTGGTGTGGTGGTTAAGGCACTGGATTCCCATGTGGCTGACCGATGTGAGTCCTGGTGGCTTGAAAAATCACACTGGGCGTGTGTGCATGCATGTGTGCCCAAAATTCCAAGAGGAGAATGGAGGAAAAGGGACTGTAGTGTGGCCATCCCCCTGGGGGTGATTTCTCACTTTCCGCCTCTCTCTCTGGTAAGCGTGCAGACCACCCTATGACAAAACCAAAAAGAGAAAGACAAATGTGGCCTGCTGCCTCCACGTCCTAGGAGCAGAGCCTTTGGGAATATTCTGCTCTGCAGGGAAATCAGAGTTCACAGACCCCACCAGGGCTTGCCGAGGCCAAAGCACAAACTTGGAGCACCGGCTAGAAACGGCTGTCCTGTGACTTACTAAGAATCTCTCCAGCCTAAGAATAATTTTCATCCTGACAATGCTTTGCTTGCGAGCAGCTCCCTGCAGTCCCTTCTAACACTGAGCACAGGCTGGGTCAGGCGAACCGCCTGCAACCACCCTGGGCTGCCCTCAGCGCATCTACAGGTAGGGTCTCAAACCTGCAGCGCCTTGGAAGAGGCTCATGATAAAAGCTGTCTGGGCCAGCCCATAGTGTGGTCGGTAGGCACTGTGTAGAGGAAGCCGAATCTCACATGGCTGGCCAGGGTTCGAGTCCTGGCCCTGGTGGCCTGAAAAACATGCCTGGTGAACACACGTGTGCCCAGGATCATGACAGGATAGAGAACTGGAGGACTGAGAATGCCTTGCTGGGGGTCTCTTTCTCTCGTGCACGCACATACCCTCAGGCACACACAAAAGCTACCTGCGAAGACAACTGTCTGGACAGCTAACACTGACGTGAGGCCAAGTCACAGGGAATCACTGCAGGTGTTCTGTCATGGGACCCCACCGTTTGGTGACACAGGAGAAAGGGCATGGGACAGACAAGGTGAGATCTTTAGGGGGTGCAGCAGGGGGGTGTCTGAGAGGTACTGGGAGAAGTCCAGCAATGGAATTACCTTTCAGCAGTGGGACTTAGGAGTGACTTTTTCCCCCCTCCTCAATTTTTAATCCCATTCCCAATTTTTTTTCTTTCTTTCTTTTTTAAGTGTCAGAGGGCACATATGCTCACTAGAGTGAGAGAGAGAAAAGAGACAGAGAGAGGAAGAAAACAACTCCCCACGGGGCACGGACACACCAGAATCCCTTCTCCACTCCTCTACCCTGCTGGGACTCTGGGCACACACATGTGCCCAGTGTGTTTTTCAAGCCACTGGGGCTGGGATTAGAACTGTGGTCATGTGGGATCTGGCTCCCTTAACCACTAGGCTATGGGGCTGGCCCCACCCTCTCTGATGCTCTAATAAAACACAACATATTAGGTTTTAAGTAGAGGAAAATCAGGGCATTCGGAAGCCTACTCCTCCAGGCCCCTGGAGTGCCGTGCATTAGCCCACGCGATGGGACTTCAGCCTCAGTCTCCCTGCCCCACTGAGCTAGGACTGAGCCACCCAGGGCAGTGCGTGTGAGCTCAGCGATGCTAGCCCCCCAACCCTGGGCCTGAAACCCACAGGGGCTCACCAAATCCCAGCGGCTGTCCTCCAATCCGCACCATCTTCCAGAGCTCTCCGGATGCACTTGTGAACAGCAAATTACTAGGAAACCTTCAACAGAAACATGAGAAAAGCAGAGGCTGATGTTAAGTGCACCCTCTGCCAGCCCCGAATTGAACCTTCCTTGTCCATACCTGGGGGGATGGGGATGGGAGATGCTGGACTGGGCTTTGGAACAACTTTCCTTATGGCTAAGGCTGTCCCACCCCAGTTCCAGAGCAGGGGTTGAGAGTCACGCAGAGGCACAGTTCAAATCCCTGCTCTGCCACCACCCCCCACCGTGGACCTCAGACATTGTTGCACCTCTCAGAGGTGGGGGCAGCCCAACTACGATGAAGGGCTGTGATGGGGGCTTATGAGGGACGACGGGGTGAGGAAGGGCCATTGCGGAGCCCTTGGCCCGCCCTGGGTTGAGCATCCGCCAGGGCTGGCTTACCTCTGCTGGGTCTGCACATCCATCACCAGGGAGATGTAGCCCTCGATGAGGGAGAAGGAGAAGAAGCGGATGTGGCCACAGTCATCGCTGGCAGCCATGGGGTCCTTCACTCTGGGGGCCAGAGGAGCCAGTGAGGGTGGCCCTGCTGCATGCAGCCTTCACTCACCCACCTGCCCATTGACCTCAGCAGGATGTTCTGGGAAGTGCCAGCCTGGGAGAGCTGGCCAAGCCCGGGCTCTGGTCTGCCCTGGGCACCCGGAGCCAGCCTCACCCTGCCTCACTGATGCAATGGGGTGAGGCCACGCATTCACATAATCGGGTCCACACTCCGGTGCTGGACGCCCAGTCAGCCCTTTACACGGGCCACGCCTGCCCCTTCCTGGGCAGGTTAGCTGTCCCCGTGTTTACCCACGTCTTATACCTCCCCTGGTGGAGGGAACATAATTAACATCAACCTCTGGGTTTCCCCCTCGTTCCCTTTGAAGGTTTTCCTAGTGGTCACGCTTACCGGACCCTCTCCACCCCACGCTGACCTGAACTTCACAAAACCTGCTTGGAGGGAGGGCCAAAGCCTGTCGTCCACTGAGCAGAAAAAGCACGTTCTTGGGTCTGGGCTGGTCCTGGGAGCTCAGGGCAGTGGGGTGCGCAGTACATCCATATGTGCACACGGTGTCACCGAATTTGGGGTTTCCGGGGTAAGATGTCTCCCCCTCGGGCCACCCTGTGGCCTGTGGACCTGGGGGCCTACCCGTTGGAGTAGAACATGACGTCCATGAGGAGTGTGGCAACAGTGGGCAGCGTGTCAGGGTCCAAGCTGGTGACACAGAACCTGTTGCTCGGGCTGGACAGCGGATGGATGACCGGCCTCTGGACTATAAGAGCACAGACAGGGGTGCTGAGGCAGGCTGGGAGCAGCATTGTGGGTGGAAAAAAGGTACAGGCAGAGGGCTAGGGTCGGCCAGCAGCTATGCCAGGGAGGCCCAGCTACAGGCTCCTGCTGCCTCTGCAGCCTTTACCACCACCGACGGGTCTCCTGATGCTCCAGCGCACATTTGGGCCCCTGGGCCTTTGCACATGCTGTGCTGGCTGCCTGGATGCCCATCCCATGGTCGCCACCTGGCTTAGCTGCTACCTGATGCCCTCCCAGAGCTGCTCTGACGCCCTGGGCTTGGGCAGGAGTGGCCTCTGGCCCTTGCTGGCCACTTCCCCATACCACTCTTGCTAGACTTTGGCAACAGGGTCTGACCAGGACAGCCGCACACGCAGTCTGGCACTCACTGATGGGCAGCTAGAGCCCGTGTTCTCTGAGAACATGGCTGGTCTGGGGCAGGGTCTCCAACTCCTCACCCCAGCTTACCCATCTTGGGCTTCACGAAGCCGTTGGTGATACCGAGGTTCTCAGCTGCCACCGTCTCGCCATTGACGACCCGCAGGATGGTGAACTCTGACGACAAGGTGTGGGTGACGAAGGGCAGGTCCCGCTCACGTACCTGCGGACAGGAAGCCGAGGCTGTGATCACTTGGTGGCCTCGGATGGATGGGTCTGGCGCTGACCCCTTTGCTCTGGGAACCTGCCTGCAGAGCCAGTGCTTCAGTGGTGGTGTGGGAGGGTGGGTGCGTGAGGGCGAGGGAGGGTGGCCGCGGCTCACCAGGATGAAGTCGGTCTGGTAGGTCGACAGCATGAACACTGAGATGTTCTGGTCAGCCAGCGGCGCGATGACCGACTTGGCGATCTTCGTCACACCGATGGGCTGGGAACTGGAGAAGCTGCCGCCACCGGACACCACGTTCAGGGCCAGCCAGGTGGCATCTGCCACGCTCAGGTGCTCCGAGGAGGGCAGCTCTGGAGGAGTGACACAGAGGCAGATCTGTGACCTTCGGGGACCTGGGTGTCTCCTGGGCAGGCCAGGCCAGAGAGGAAGGGACTGAGGCTCCAAGGCCAACCTCCTGGCCCCTGGCCTTGGGCCTCAGTTCCCCCTTTTGTCACCAGAGTGGGACTTGTCTCAAAGCTCCTTTCCTGGGAAGACAGAGCGGGGAAGGCTCCCTGCGGACTCAGGACAGGTCAGGCGGGGTGGGCAGGAACCACGTGGAGAAGGGCTTTATACTAAGAAAGGTTGTTTCCTCAGCCACAAAATGACAGTAACACCATTATTTTCTAGCTTTTGCCACTACCATTGTATCATGAGAAACTTGCCCCATGGTTTCCAAGTGGGGTTTCCCAGCTCTCAGAGGATTCTGAAGAGGAGAGGCCAGGAGCAGACAGGGTGGGACCCCAGGATTTCTCTCCCTCGTTCAGCTGGACCTCTGTGTCGGGCTGCTCTGGAAGAACACACAGCTCCGGGGGCATCCCGGCTGCTGAGGATGCCATACCTCAGGAGCAGGGGGCTAGGAAGGCAGGGGCTCAGGCTGGGGAGCTGAGGGGACTGTGAGGAAGGTGGTGCCCCAGGGAAGTGGCAGTGACAGTTGCCAGGTCCCCCTAAAAACCTGAGGGTGCCTGGGGCAGCACTGCACAGGTAGTGTGGACAGACTTGCAGCAACAGCGACCGCCAGAGCGCCTTGGCTAGTGCGTAAGGACCCAGAGTCCACACGTCTGAGTCAGGCCTCCGCCCCATCCTGCAGGGTACCATGGTACCCCAGGAGCCCTGTGCACGGAACACAGGACACACATGTGCATGTGTCTCCAGGGGCCTGCAGACACGAACATGAACACGGGCTGCACGTGGGACACTGTGTCCCCCGGCGTCCGTTCAAGTCCACCACATACCAGGCCAGAGCAGGGACGAGGGGAAGGTGCAGAATGGAGGACTCTGAGCCGTGGGGGCACTGGCACTCCCACCACACACCGGTAACCCAGAGGCTCTGAGAGGGTCAGTGATTTGCCCAAGATCACTGAGACATGGAGTGCCTGAGCCAGGATTCACACTCAGGTCTGACTCGAAAACCCGGCCCCTGTCCTGTGCACAGATAGCAAGGGGTGCCAAGTTCCAAAGGGCAGGGGGCTAAGGCAGGGGATCAGGCTGGGGCGCTGGGGGGATGATGGTGCCCCAGAGAAGACCAGCTGGGCTCGGGCAACAGGGCTTCCCAGGAGGGGATCCTAAGTGCCCAGCCCTGGTGGCCATGGTGACTACTGCCTGGTGGGCCGTTGGTCCGGCTGGCTGAGAAGGGCCAGTGGTCAGCCAGAGGGAGTTTGGAGAGGCAGCCGGCATCACAGCACAGGGGACGGCTTGGGAGGGAGAGTGGGACAGGCTCTCATGTCAGTCCCCCTACCGAGGGTCTCGGAAACCAGATTTCTCAGTCCTGGGACCAGCTGAGCAAGCAAGTTCCCCAGAACCCAGAGGCTCACCTCCCTTCTGACATTCTAGGGAGCCCAGGCCTGGCAAAGGACGCTGTGTGGGGCAGTGTTGAGAGCCCCGGCCCTACTCACTGTCTGGGCGTACAAGCAGAGAGAGACCCAGAGTCACTGAGCGCCAGGGTGCTCTCCGGCTCAGCCTTGTTAGGCCACCCAACTCTGACACCAACCCCAAGTCCTCTGCCTCACTCGGTGACAGCATGTTCCGAAGCGCGCATCGCTAAGCGGCCCTCTCTCGTGTGAACACCACGGACTGCTCTTGCACGGCTCTGATGGTACAGTCAGGTGCACCGAGGCTGCACGGTGGGGTCCATTATCACCTCACAGGACCACCCCGTGTACGTGCTCTGGCGGGGGCCCAGACATTGCTCGGGGACATCTAACAACGAGTGGTGAAATAAAAAATGCCCCTTCTCACGAGCACAGAACCCCTAACACCTCAGGGAAATCCCGGTGGGCTCATTCACGTCACCGTGTTAACACGACAGGACCGTGGAAGCCTTTGTGAATCCTCGCTCCATTCGCGCTATCCCTGCAAGCTCCTTGCAACTCACAACTTCCCCGGGGGGCTGGGCCAGCTGGTGGTGTGGTTAAGGTGGCAGGATCCCACATGGCTGGCTGTGCAATTTGAGTCCCAGCCCTGGCAGCTTGAGAAACATGCCAAGTGCATGTGGGTGCCTGCCAGAATCCTGGAAAGGAGAGATAGAGAAGGGACTGTGGTGTGGCGACCCCCCTTGAGGGGAGCTTTCTCACTCCCCCTCACCCCTTTCTCTCTCCAGCAAGTGCATACATCCTCTGGCAGACAAAACAAAACAAACCTGTCCAGTGGCTTCCCATCTCTTTTGCAGCAGAAGCCCAGGTCCTCACAGTGTTCTGAATCAGCACTGCCTGAAGAGCCATCTCTGGAGATGGAGATGGTCTAGACATGCACTGCCCAGTAGGGCAGCCACTGGCCAGGCATGGCCACTGGTGGGCCCCGTGTGGCTGGGCCACGGAAGAACTGAACTCTTCGATCTATTTTAATCCATTTGCATTCCAGTAGCTTCACATGGTGAGTGGCTGCTGTACTGGCCGGGCAGTTCTGCCATCAGCCCGCTGGAGTGTCAGCTGCCCAGGGCTGGGAGCTCTGCCTGCCAAACCCAGCGCCCAGAGCGAGCACCAGGGACTGCAATGGCTGCCCCAGACCTCTGCTCTCTCTAGGCCCCACTGTTCCCCCTTCCGCTTCTTTGCCCAACTCCCAACTCAGTCTCTGTGGTCAGGGTGGGGGTCACACCGCAACACTGGGGGTTAGGGAGGGATGCCCTTTATCATCCCATACTCAACACTCCAGGATGGGGAAAGGGGCTGCAGTAGCCAGGGCCACTCCCATCGACCATCTCCGGACCCGCTGACTCCCCTACATGCCTGACCCACCAGTGAGGACAGAGAAGAACCTGCGTGGAGATGTCCAACTGGCTCTGAGAAGGAAGCTCTTCCCCCATCCCAGAACAGGAAATAGGCCCAGAGGAAGAAGCTGCTGGGCCCTGGGTCACGATGCAGCAGGTGGAGGAGCTGTCTCCAGCACTGTGAGAGCCTTCCAGACCTGCCTGGTGCCAGCCCACTGGGGGTGTTGGGGAAACTCCTCAAGCAGTGTTTAGCCTCAGAACTGGAAACCGAAGGTGACGGGCAGGTGGCATTCCAATCTGCCAGTCCACTCCTAGGCCTGGTGCTCCTGTCTGTTCTGGAGGGGCCTGATCTGTACTGTGGGGGATCAAGAGTCCTGTGGGGGGGGAAGGGTGGCGGCAGGTGGCATGGTGTTAAGGGTGCTGGACTCCCACATGGCAACTGCGGTTTGAGTCCTGGATCTGGCAGCTTGCTTTTTCACTTGCCCCCCCTCTCTCTCTCTGTCCCTCTCTAGTCAAGTTTAAATAAATACATAAATAAAGTTAAATAAAATAATTCTTTATAAACAAAAAAGAGTCCTTAGGGGAGCAGAGGGCAAAACCAGGCTTTGGGCTCAGAAGGCCCATCTTGGCCCCGCCCCGTCTTCCCCATGAGGAAGCCATGAGAAAGCTGTTCTGACAGGCAGGGGTAAAGGTGTGTTCCCCCCAGGCAGTGAAGTGTTGGGGGAGTGTGTATCTTTGGGCGGTCCTGGTGTGACTGAGACTCTGCCGCTCAGCAGGCTAGGATGACTCCTGGGGAGAAGCCTGAGCCAAGACCAGCCAGAAGCGAGGCATAGGGGAGGAGGATGGCGAGCAGCTCCTTGGCTGCCACTACCCAGGGGACTTTGGGTCAGTCCGACAGCTGGCCTGAGGCTTCGCAGCCAGTCTGATGGGATGGGTCCACCTGCCATGCTCCCAGCCTCCACTCTGTCTGGCGTGCACTCGCCAGACAGACAGAGACACAGACAGACAGAAAGTGAGAAATCACCCCCCAGGGGGGATGGCCATGCCACAATCCCTTCTCCTCCATTCTCCTCTTGGGATCTTGGGCATGCACGCACATGCACCCAGTGTGAGTTTTAAGCCACCGGGTCCGGGATGCGAACCATGGTCGGCTACGTGGGAGTACAGTAACATAGCCATTACGCTAACTGCTGGTCCCTCCCAGCCTCCACTCTGGGTAGAACCCACTGATGCTCTTCAAGTGGCAGGTCAGGGTTGGGAGGGCAGTGAGCATGGGACCAGACAGGCAGGACCCACAGAGCCTTCTGGAAGAGCATGCTTGGTCAGAGCAGCAAAGCAGCCGGAGGCCATGTTGTTTGCTGCTTCTTGCCCAAGGACCACCCCCCACGCTGTCTCCACGTTCTGGGGGAGAGATGACGATCTGTCGATTTCATCCCTGTCCTGGCCAAGCAACGGAATGCTTGAACTGCTGCTCTGGACCTGTGGGGACCAGCACCCAAGCAACTGGCCAGGAGGCAGCATGCTAGCCCTATCCTGGAGGAACAGAGGCCCATTCTAGGACCAAATGGATGGTCTCTGTCACTGCCCATCATCAAGAGCCTAGATAACTTTTTGGAGCTGAAGAGCCTCCCTGGCAATGAAGGCCACAGTGTCGCCACTTGGCTATGGGACCGGCGGCTCCTGGGCAACGTGGCCACATCTTCTGCATAGCTGTGCTTCCACGGTGCCTCCTACCTGCCCATGGGTCAGGGGCCCTTGGGGTTAGCAGGCGGGCTGACTCCCAGCAGCGTGACCTTGGGCAGAACCACTGCCCTGGGTTTCTCAGTTTTCCAACATGGGACAGTGAAATCAGGAATGACTCCCGAAGCTTCCCTCACTGTAAACATTTTGCCCGAGGGTGCACATGCTGGTTGGAGGGGGACAGTGGGAAAGCACCCTCCATCGGGAATGGTCATGCTGTTTATCCTTCATAAATTCCTTCATTTATCCTTTCGGGATTTAGGGCACACACACACGTGCCCAGTGTGTTTTTCCCATGCTGGGTCCAGGACTGGAACCACACAGTAGGCCATGTAGGATCCCAGCTCATGGAACCCTCAGGCCACAGCT